CCAGAGATGGCAGGTTCAAACCTGGCCCTGGCCAAAAGCTGCAAAAAAAAAAAAAAAAAAAAGGCGCAGCGCCCATAGCACAGTTGTTATGGCGCCAGCCACATACACCCCGGCTGGCAGGTTCAAACCCGACCCAGGCTAGCTAAACAATGACAGCAGCCTCAAATACAAAAAAAAAATAGCCAGGCATTGTGGCAGGCACCTGTTGTATCAGCTACTTGGGAGGCTGAGGCAAGAGGGTCGCTTGAGCCCAAGAGTTTGAGGTTGCTGTGAGCTGTGATGCCACAGCACTCTACCAAGGGTGACATACTGAGTCTCTGTCTCAAACAAACAAACAAAAATCCCTAAAAGACAAAATTAAATGAAAAGTAGAGAAACTACTTATGTTTAACTCTAATTTTTAAAATATACATATATGTTTGGGGGAGATTATGAAGATCAGAAGCAAACTATGATTGCAAATTAAAAACCTACTATAGAGCAGCCAATTAAAGATCTTATGTATAATCTGACAATGAATTTAAGACACTGGGATATTTTATCCAAAACAAATACATGAGCATTATCCTATAAGAACAGAGTAACTAGTGTAGTATTTGTGACCAGAAAGACACATAAAGATTTTTTCTGGTCACAAACACTAGGGTAGGATACTAGGCAATGTACCTATATAATCTTTATGGGAAAATAGAGATGAAAGCAGGAAGAGATCCAGGAAGATCAAGTAATGTGCATTTTTGTACATTAAGCGTCAGGCAGTGTGCTAGAAACTTTTACACTTAATTCTAACTCCACAGGGCAGGTGGTGTCATTCCACCCCATTTTACAGAAGATATTTCATAATTATGCCAGTAGTAGAGCTGGAATCTGAGTAAGTCCAGACTACAAAGTCATGTGTTATCTTGCATAAGGTTATCTAGCTGAAGAATTGATACGATTTCCATATTTATACTTTTCTTACTGCTTAAACATTAACAGAAAAGGCAACCATTTCTCAATCTACTAAGAATGTTCATGGATTTCCTTTGTACTCTAGCAAAAAGCAATACTGATCATTTCCAATCTATAAAAAACAGTATTCACACTGCCCTGCCACTGATAAAAGAAAACCTGAGCTGGACTTTATAACATTCATATGTACCATGAGTATAATTTTGAAAACAAAAAATAGGGGCCTGATCTGATTACAAGATAAAATACCTAAAATTATAAACGCCTCAAAAAATCCAGGACCATCATCACTGTGTTATACTACACTTCTCTTGCCAGACAAAAACAGCAAAGAGAGGGAAAAAGATGGCTTTCCAAAAGTGATGAACACTATTTTCTAATAATGAATTTGCTTATGGCCTCCTCCTTATACAAATCTACTGAATAGATTTAACTAAACTGTTCCAAACTTTACAACTGTGTTCTAATGTACATTTTCGTAATTATTTAACCACTCTGAGAAAATAGTTTAACATTTCTCTCTTTGGTAGCCAAACAATTAATGGGTAACATGGCTATTATCTGAACATTAATAAAATTAATATTAACTACACTCCACTCTATTAGAACATACAAAGTTTTAATGAAATTGCTTTGAAAATATAACATCACAATTTCAAACATTTTTAACAAATTATTTCTAACTGCATTTACAAAAAAAAAATCATTGTCACACAAATGCATTATAGAAACAAACCAAAAAAACTCTTAAGAATACAGAAGGAAATAGTTCTCAAACCATAATTCAACATGGTGACATTACAAACATTATTTCTGAGGCTAAATGAGCTTTTTTCTTTCCCTGTGGACAAACCACAATAACTTACTAAAAAAAAAAAAAAAAAAAACTACTGATAACAGTAAAGAGTTAAGTATAATTTTAACACCTTTGTTCCAATATGAATAAAACTATAAAGTGCGAATTAAATAGATAAGTGAATAACCGTTTGGAAAGGTCACCAGTACTTCACAATCATTGACTGGTCTAGTAAGTATCTATTGGAAGGACTCTTCCAACAGAATTGTTGCAGGGGTCCTCAAACTTTTTAAACAGGGGGCCAGTTCACTGTCCCTCAGACCGTTGGAGGGCCAGACTGGGGGCCCCAGGAATAGTCAGCTGCTAAGCAGGACAGGCAGCGGAGGCAAAAACACTCTCTGTGGGCCAGATAAATGTCCCCAGTGGGCCGCATTGGCCCGTGGGCTAGTTTGAGGACGCCTGAAGAGTCTACAAACATTCCAATCACCAGTTTTAGCTCTTTAGAGTGCTTTCATTATTGTGACACCATTATAGCGACATTTTTGCAACAATACGGAGAATTAAAAATGATTCCATTGTCAATACATCATCATATATAAAAAATACTAATCCTATTGTTTTGTTCTGACATATAGACATGTAGGTATTACAACTAAATTAATTTATGTCATCTACTTCATTGAAGACACTTCTGACTCCCTAAAACAAACGTTGCCATTTACAAGAAAACAAAAATAAAGGCTGAGCTCTCCAAAAATAAAAACAAAACAAAAAAGTACATACAAAAGCCATCATGGCACAACAGTTATTTTTATCCCCATTTCCTAAATTCATATGAAAAGGAATGTTTATGTTTTAAAAAAACCATTTTGTTTACCTTTTCCACAGACTGTTCAAGTACTGCCAAGGTAACATAGATTTTAAAACTGACAACTAGAGTACTTCGCAGTTGCCAAAACAACACAGCTGGATTCTTAAAGGGAAAGTACTCTTGTGTACCGTACACCTAATTACAGCTTTAGTGAACTTTCTCTTCATATAGTAATAGACGATACAAGACTCAAGGGAGACATACTGTGCTACAAATTTGAAAAATGTTAGTATATGTTTAAAAATACATATACTATTGTTAACATATCACAGCAGGCCTTTCTAATCACACATTTACTGGAATCTCCATCTCACTGTAAAATGCAATTCAAATTAACACTATGTTGTAGTCAATCTACACACTTTTCCCTACTGGGCCTTAACAAGAGGCTCGTTTCATAGCTCAGGAATCTATTTCAGGTCTGAGCAACAATTTTATAAGTTACACTTTTACAGGAAAAAAAAATCTAATTCAGAAATGCTCACCTTTCCCAAACTTGTTTGCACTATCTCACTCTAACCCTCACTATTTAAATACATGAAATCGAACCCAAAGGCAAAGTTTCTAGCACACAAAATACTCCCTGCGTGCTAGGATCTCCTTGGATGGCAGGGGGCAGCCAGTGGTCCTTCTACAGCCTCTCGGCCCCCGCGAAGTCTCCCTGCGCGGCCAGACGTCCGCAACCGCAGGTGACCCCAGCCCGCCCCACATGCCGACCCCACCACTGACATCTACACACACAGAGTCAAGACCTAAATGCTCTGCCAGGTTAAACCCACTTTCTCCCAAAGCAAAAGTGACAGAACTTCTTTCAAGTCCAACAAGATAGAACGCCCCTCGCACGCAGTGGGGGCAAATCCCTTTAGGGAGAACCCTGGCCTCAGAAGACAACGGAAAGGAAAAGAACCTTGGGAGCACAACCCCGAAGAAGCTCAGGGGTCCCGAAGAACTCCAACTTTCAAGAAGGCTAAGTCCACCATCACCCCCCAGCTCCAAGCGCGATACACTCACCAAGAGGCTGCTAGCGGCGAGCCCGCGCGGCCAAGCTTCCCCTCCCCGCCGAGTTCGCTTCAGACCCCCGGGCCCGCCCTCGGGTACCCCACCCCCACCTCCCAGGGCGCACCGACCTGAGCAACAACCTCGATGCGACCACCCCTCGCGACCTCCTGGCACCCTACCCACCCTGCCGCCGCGCGCCCGCGACCCCGACCCCCTCTCAGTCCGACGTGGCCTCGGCCTAGGGTCCAGGGAGCCCCGAGGGCGCTCGCCCTCGGCCGCACCGCCCCCCGCCCCAGCACCCCCCCTTGCCCCTGCCCGGCCCCCTCGCCGAGACACCGCCCCCTCCAGCAATGCCGACCCACGGACCGAGCCCCGCCGCTCGCGGACCTCACCGTGTCTCCAATGCAGTTGCCGGGCGCGCACACGCCGCAGCCCGGGCCCGCCACCAGCGCTCCTCGCCGCCCGGAGCCGCCTCCTTCAGCCCGGGACTCGCCGGGACACCCGCGCACGGATTCCCACACCAGAGCTATTTTTAGGAGCCAGGCCCCGGCCAGACCGGAACTCGTTCCTCTCGACGCGCTTGCGCACTATGCCGATAGCCTCGGTGTCCCTCCGCCAGGCTTGTCTTTCCCTCCCTTCTCGGCTCCCTTTCTCGCTTCTCCCATAAGGTTTCTTTTCAGGTTTGTTTTATCCTTTTGGTGCGTCCTAGAGTACTTGCAAAGACAAAAGTGCAGGCAAACAAAGTCACACTGTTAGGAAGCGAGCGCTATTCTACAAGGACGTGGGGGCGGACTATGTTTTTCCGGGTGGGTAAGGAGACTATCACCCCGCACAGGAAGGAGATGACGGTGGTTTGGCGCTGGGACTGCAAGCTGGACCTCGCTTCTCTCAGAAGACCGAGTTCTCCTGGACGGGATACTGGTCATTTGATGAGGGTCTGGACGCCTCTCTGGGTGGGGCAGCCCAGCGCCGTCGCGCCCTACTACCCGTGCCTCCCCCGCCGCGGCCTCCCAGACTAGCCCCCGGGAGCTGAAGCCGGGAGTGGTCTTACTGACGCGGCGCGTGACCAATCGCCGCGCGTGGTCTGAGGCTCCAGCCAACCCAGGGCGTCGGGGGCGGGGCTCCAGGGGGCGGGGCCCTGGCGCCAGTCCGGCAGTCGCCAGGAGTCAGGGCCAGGCGAGTCCCACGGGACGGCTCAGACACCCACCCCTGCCGTAGTCTTGGGGTCGCGACCAGCCCTCTCCTTCCGAGCGCACTTGGCCTCCCCAGATGTCTGCTCGCCATACCCACGCCTACGCCCTTATTGTCAGGGCCGCACCTGTGCTTGCGCCAAGGCAGCAGCCAGGTCACCCTCACTGAGCAAGCATAATGGGATCCTGGCCTCTGGGGTTCCGCGGCGTCTCCGAACCGGCCCAGAAAGGACAGCACTTGAAGGGACCTGAAAGTCGGAGAGACCATTTCTGGCTGGCCAGCCAACCTCTCCACTCTCAGGAGAGAAACAACCTAGTTATCTTGACTATAAAGAACAGTCGCTGGTAGGCCGCTAAACTATGTGACTAACATTTTGCACATGATAGTTTATGTAATCCTTACACCGTACCCAGGAAGCAGATTCGGTTTCTATTCCCATTTTACAGATGAGGAAAAGGAAGCTGAGCGCTAAATTGACATGTCAGGGTCACAGCACTTAACAGGAGGCTATCGAGTACCTGAACTCCTAACCACTCTGAATAATGCCTTTTCCGAGAGAGGAGCAAAGGAGATGTGCTCGGGACAGCTGTTGTGTTTTATGGGGATATTGATTTTGTTGAGAGGTCATTAGGAGGTGAGCCATTGTTGGTACTTGCATCCTGAGAGACGCTCATCTCGGAAGAGTTGCTCAGAGCCACCCTGCCTGCACGTGCACTCTGAGGTACCTATGCTATGGACATAAAGCCAATCTTTTCTTTCATTTTGAATATAAGAAATCCACTCCCACAGCCCTTTAAAACAAGGTGACTGGGGTGAATGACCAGATGAGCAGAGGAACTGGGAAGTCACAAAGGAAGCCAGAGGCTGCCTGGCTTCCTCTATCAAGGAGAAGGAGGCAGTATACTGGGGAGAGCCCAATACAAAAGCTGCACATAGACACCAGACACTGGAAAATAGGCCTGGAGCTCTGCTCTCAGCCCCACCTCATCAGTGTTCTGGGGAGCCAGCAAAAGGCACTACAGGGAAACAACATGTCAAAATTTGGTGTAAATCAACAAGTCAAGTATGTATGCTTTTTAACCTGCCAGAAGCTGCAAAGCCATCTGGATTTGGCTTGTCTGCTCCAGGAAAACAGGAAGAATTTTATACTTTAAAAAAAAAAAAACTTAGGTTCTGGAGTCAGGGCACCCTCCTTCCCACCTGCCTCCTCTCTGAAGAGAGGAGAGGGGCAGTGAGAACAGACTGTTCCAAAGAGTTTTCACCTTGTCATTGCTTACCTGCCTCCATCCAGCTTGCCCTTCTAGAAACTGAGCCTCCTAGGGGGCAAAAGGCTCAGCCCACACTGCCCACCCCCTGCCCATTCCAATGCTATTGGTCACCCCAGAAAGCCAAGCAGAGAACTTAGCTAGGAATCCAGCCAAAGCAGAAGTGAAAAGAACATTTACATCACCTTAGACAGCACCTTTCTTCCCACCATCCCATGCATATCAAAGCCCTTGTCTAAAAATTGCAGGGAGTGGTAAGAAGGAAGGAAAGAATGGAGGGAGAAAAGAGGGAAAGAAGTTAAGAAGGAAAGATGAGAAGAAGGAGAGTAAGTTTAAGAATTCTGGAGCACAGCTATTGTAAAACACCAGCTCACAGTCATTGTTCTTTGTAGTTAAAATAACTAATTCTAGGAAATTATCACTTCTGTATCTGAAGTCCAGTGTCTCCAGCAACTTTCATATTCAGCCCAGCATAGAGCAAGGGCTGAGTGCTTACATGTGAGGAGCAGCAACTGTCAGTCTTTCCACTCTGGCCTCTAAATGCACTTGAGGGTCAGGGTGTGTCTGAACTGCAAGGGCTCCCACTGTACTAGGCTCTGGGGCACGGAGGTGAGGAGCAGCCCTTCCCTCAAAGGGGCTGGCAGGACCACGGGGGAAGACACATACTAAAACAGCCCAGCTTAATAACCACCACGAGAGGGGTTACCTTGGGTGCCAGAGAGAACAGATGATGAGAATCTAGGGAGGGGCTGGAATTGGGGAAAGTTTCTTAGAGGAGGTAATGCCCTCAGTGAATCTAGAAAGCCTCTTACTGGGACGAAAAAGAGGCCCTTTCACTGTGTCTTTATGGTAAGAATAAAGCTCAAGCCCTTTGGGAGGCAGGGATTCTGACCACCTAGCCAGCTTCTCCCTTAACTCTTCCTGCCTGACACCTCACTGTCCCCATTCAAAAGTTTAACAAGCTTCTCAGTACACACCTGCCTGTTTTCTCCTGTATGCAGGCTAAACACCTCTAACCATCAAGTCTCCACTTAGGCATCATTTTCTCTAAGTGCCCTTCTCTAATACAACACCTTGGTCAAAGAACAGTAGAAGTATTTATGTGTGCCTGTCTCTTCCCTTCAGTGAATGAGCTTTTTGAAGTTGAGAACTGTGATTTATTCCTGGTTGTCTTCACAGTGACTAGCACAGTGCCTGGAACATAATAGACAATCAAATAAATGTTTATCAAATATTTATGAGCATCCCGTTGGCACAGAGGGGCTGCCTCTTCATTCTGGCTCAAGAAAGAGAGCACAGCTAGTGTGGTCCATTTGAGCCTGCACCTAGTGCTGGGGAGGGGAGGGCAATGAGGCTAGAAGAGTGTTTGGGAGTGAGTGAGATGGTGCAGATCCCTGGCCCATCAAGCCAGGCTAGTTGTATTGTATTACGAAAGCAATGGCAACCATTCACAGTTTTTAAGCAGGTGAAGAGCTTGAGCTATTTGGCATTTTAGAAAGGTCACTTGGGGGGCCATAGAAGGAGATGGGAGCAAGACTGGAGGCAGTGGTGGGCAGCCGCTGCCATCAGAGCCCTCGCATTGCACCACGTGCTGATCACTCCCTGAGTGTGTCTGTCTGAGGAAATGCTCTAGCCAGGAGAAGTACAATTTATGGGGTACACAAATACCCCAGCTTCCTTACATCTCAGGAAGACCATCTTGAGGCATGTTTCCAAAGTCCCTTATGGAGGGAGAGCAATTGGTCCAGTGGATCAAGCCCCAGCTGCCTACAGTAGTGACCTACTCATCTGCACATTTCTGTCCCCTCTCCTCCCTTCTGCTGTGTCACTTCCTCACTCTCTCACAGCACTTCTGGACATCACCTCCCAAACATACTACCAGCACCAAAACCCATCTTTAGAGGCCCACTTTTCAGAGGACCCTTTAAGACCGATGGTACCTGTGTTAAAGAAGAAAGAGGACCTGAATTAAGACAGTTGCCTGACAAGGGGTAAAACGGGAGAAATCAAGGGCAAAACAGAGAGCTGGCTTGATGGTCATTAACCTGGAGTTAGGGAAGGTTGAGGAGTTTCCTGTGCTCCCAGGTTTCTGTTTTGGGGTATCAAGTGGACATCGTTTAAGTGGGGAACACTGGAGAATATGAGATGGAGGTGCTTGATGGGGAGAAGCTGGATGAGTTCCAGTCTGCTCATGGTGAAATGAGATGCATGTGGGACAATGTATCCTTAGCCTTGGGGTCTGGAGAATGATACAACTGGATGAGCGTGGACACTTCATGGAGGGCTTCTTGTAGGAGGAGAAATTTAAGCAGAATATTGAAGTCACAGTGCGTGGGCTGGAGAAAAAGGGAAATGACTTATGGAACAGAAGAATGACAAAAGAGGAATTGACCAGAAAGAAAAATAGATTTACATAGGAAAAAAAGTAACTTTACCTAAACCAGAGAAAACTAGAGCAAATAAATGATTGGGGTAAAAAGAGGTTAGAAGGAGTTCTAATTTGTGAGCTGCTTGAAGAAAGGAACCATGCCATGTTCAATCTTGCATCCCCAACACTCACCCAAAGTTGATAATTATTAAAATTGTGTGAACCAGGTGAAGTGTCTCAATAAATATTTTTCATGATGCCTCAGTCTTATAAGAATATAATTAAAAATTGAAGGTTTTAAATGTACTACCCCAAATCGGTAAATTCTCCCTCTAAAGTTAGCTTTGTATAAAGACTTGTGTCTTTTTGAGAAACACCACATACAAGAGAACCTGCATACTTGTAAAGTTAAATCTAATATAAAGTCAACCACTTGTAAATTTTTCAAAAAATTAAAATCTCACACTTTAAAACTAAAGATAAAAACATGATCCACTTTGTACCATGCACTGCAAGGTCTTTAGAGTTACGATCACTAATGTCTGTGTGCATGAAAGGGAACATTATATACTTCTTTTCTATTGCAAATTCCTTTTTTTTTTTTTTTTTTTTTGACTAGGGCTGGGTTTGAACCTGCCACCTCTGGCATATGGGGCCAGCACCCTACTCTTTTGAGCCACAGGCACTGCCCTCTATTGCAAGTTCTGTGGCAAACACCCAGGTCTAAATGACATCTTACAATACAAGGAACCAGGGCTCCTTGGGGAAAAAGGTTATTCCAGGACTAGAAGAGCCAAAAAAACAAACAAAAAAAAAAAGGCAAGATAAACCTATGGTTCCATAAAAAGGCAGTGCTCAGAAAATGACAAAGCCATGTCAAAAACACACAGAAGGAGCCAACCTGTGCCCCAATGGCAAAGCTGGGATAATTCAAGTCACAAAATCATGTGAGTGTTGGATTATAATCCATAGATTAAAATAAATATCTATAAGCCTATACTTACATAAATAAATAATTGAATGAATAAATAAGTGAGAGAGAAGATACAGATCTTCTTTACAGGAGAAGTCCAATTTAATAATGTAGAAGATAAATGTCATCTTTAATCAT